AAAAATATTTTAAACGTTTATGTATAAAATATTTTTATATTATCTCTTATATATGTTAATATCAATCTTTATAGTGAAAAATAACCTTAATCATGCCACAAAATTTGATACTTCGAAGCTGTTGCATGAAGCATTACAGATAAGTTAACTCATCATTAATTTGCATTCTAGATTATTAATGGCTAAACAAAGTAGGAACATATGGTAAAGTGTGATATTTATTGTTAGAAACGAGCGTAAAAAACCCTTTTCTACAGAAAATGACCCGAGATTAGTGTTTGCAAATCACGTCTCATATGGATGACAATCATAGGTCGTCTTAGTGACAAAGTGGACGAACAGATGGTCCGAGTGGGAGAAGAACTGTAACCAGGGATCTGGTAAATGTTTGTCACGACCCTCTATACCTGTCGATGGGTACTGGACTTCTACATCCATTTCTCTTCCGTTAAATTCGATGAAAACCACTCTAAAAAAACAAAACTATCGTATCGTTCGAGTGTGTTTTTTTTTCTTATTTAAGAAAAATGTAAATTAAATTAATCGTAATTTTTTTAAATAATTAAATTAAATAATGTTTAAATGTCAGTTTTAAACAATTTCTTTTTAAAAATCTTATTTAATTTAAGCATTAAAAGATGGGAAATATGTGAAGAGATGACGGTGTTAATTTTAATACTAAATATGTATTAATTTTCTATTAATAAGTCTTACACGCAAGAGTTACACTTAGGAATATTTTAAAGATTGCAATTTATAAAGCTGAATATTGTCGCGAAAATATTGTTTTTGTCTAAAATAACACATTTCGTGCCTTTTTAGGTTGACAAACACCCGTATCGTTTTACACCAAGAGCACAGAAATTAGTAAACAAATCTCGTATTTTCTATGAGACATTTGTTAAAATTTACTATTTATTAAGCTAAAAATTGCATTAAAAAGCATAATTTTCGGTTACAAGTAGAATGTTTTCTGCCTTTTCATATTGACAAACAACATCCCTATCATTTTATAAAGAAGAGCACATAAATTAGTAAAGAAAATACCACATTTTCTAACTTCCGATTAATCACATCTTTATATTTTTCTTCAATTAAATCATTTAAAATTGAAATTAAAGTGATACTTTTTTAAGATTTTCTTTACTTTAGATAACGATAGATAACGTTAAACACTCAGGCCTTTAGGCCAAATTTTATCTACAACCTACCTTCGAAATACCGAAGAGACTAGCCAATGCTATAAAAGTATTATACGACATTTTATTATATAAAATAACGAATGTCAGACAAGTAAATACAGCTTTCAGCTTTACTTTTAACTGTTTAGATGGACTTTTTAGCACGAAAGGTTGTTAACAAGATGGCGACCACTCGAATGTATAATGAGTCGACCTGATTGCTTTTGACATTTCCAGTAACAACTTCTTGATGGAAGCTTTTAGTGTGCAAAATGTATTTTTTCTAGCAATTTTTTAAATACCGGAACCTCTCAGGGGAGGTGAAAGAACGATATATGTATATATATAAAAAATATATATATACATACATAAACATAGACATAAACATAGTCGAATCCAAAGTAATTTGTAATTCTTTCATCTAGGGTGAGAGAAAACGAAGATTTTGATAATTTCTCTTACGTATCCCCGTCACCTTTCGTGTCTAAAGTTGTTAAGTCAACAATGAAATATTTTATGTGACATGAGGACGAATAGGTTCGTAAAATTAAAGCCTAGTACTTAGCTTAAATAGAATGAAAGCTGACTTGATCTCCACTTTCCGACTTCTATTTTACGCTCTTTTATTTACTTATAAGATCATTTTACGAGAATTACTTTCGGTTACTCTTAAAATTCTTGATAATTATTTTGACGTAATCCTTGAATAATTAATTTTGTTTATCCAACTCCATGTTGTTTTCCTATTGGTACGTGTGTTTTTACGTGCGAAAACGTAATCCAAAATTTAAAAAAAGAAAGCGTTTTCGGGGCTATTTACCATAAGATTCTTACTGTAAATAAATTTTATTACTTTTTTTTCGTGAGTTTATATGGAAATTATTATAGCTTTAAGAGATGAGGGTGGCCTCTCGGATGAATCGAATTCGTTCCTGTTTGAGAAAAACCACTGATTTTGTAAGGAGGTTTCGAAATTTTCCACATCCTCCTATAGAATAGATACAGTACGTAGAGATTGCAGAATGGTGGAAGAGGGTGGAGAAAAGAAACCTATTCCTTATTGCCATTTCGACCTTGGTGAGGGGAGAAGTCTTTCTGCTTCAAAACTCTGATTACAAAAAATTGAATTTTTTTTCCTTTTTTTTCAATGTTATAAAAATCAACTGTAAAATTGATCTTAATTTCTGTATAAAATCCGCATTTATATGTTAAAAATTGAGTTTTATTAACACTCTGTTTTAATTAATTTCAGTTATTATTATTTATTGATTTATTCCATAGTATTTTGCTTAATTTTTTTAGTTTAATTGCTGCTAATTAAAGTTAATTTTTTAGAGTTACTTAGAAAATTCGTTTAGTTTTCTAATTGTATTTACATTTAAATAGTTTAAAAAAAATTGAATCAATTATACTTCCATTGCGTTAGGAGAAAGCTAAGTGAGCATCACGTATCGTAATTTAATAGGAAGAATTAAAAGAGAAGAGGACACGTGCCCGCATCTTTGGCAAATCCCGCAGAGAAGTGTGATTGCGTGTTCATCTACAGTGGTAAACAAGCACCACGTGACTAGGAAAACTCAGCTGTCTGCTTGGTCTCCTATCAATGCACGACAGGCCCTACTCCTTCCAGTCCATTCGGGTGGAAAATTCGTTTTCTCTTTGGTATCGCGTTTAGCTTTTTGACACCGCAGGTGTGAATCGGACATGTGAATGGCGGATGGGCGATCACAATTTCCTGCTTTTTACATATTCCGTCCGACAACTCTACCCTATTGACGAGTCCTATAGAGTTTGCTATCCCCGATGCAGTTAGTGCCTCGTAAAACGCCTTCACTAGATCTGTGGCTTCGTTTTAGTAGGACGTATTGTGCCCTCCTATACTTACATAGTCGTCTGGCTTGTTACTGGTGCTTAAAGATACAGCGTTAGTGGAGTAGATGGCCCTTGTCTAAATTCGCCATACTCCTTCCCGAGGTTGTACTTAACAAAGGCTTTTTGAATTGATTTATAACAGGCTACTCTTAATGGAAAGAAAAATTAAAGCTAAATCTGTCAAAAATTTCGTATAAAAAGTCAAATTGATTAAACATTTTTGAGAGGTGAGCTTATCGGAGATTAATTAGAAGCTAGGAACATCAAGAGAATGGCGATATTTTCCAGATAAAAATAGTTTGCTTGGAATTTGTTGTAAACCTCATACATCTAAGCAAATTTCCAGTTACAGAATCGATATCAACAACTCGGATGCACATCCCAATTTCGTAGAAACATTTGAAATTACCTAGAAAGCACCCAGACGAAGTATCTGAGAAAAGAATACTGCATGTTCCTTCCGAAGTTATTGAAAAGTGGGACTTTGAAACGCCATAGAGACACAACACCCTCCGGAAATTCCGACAATAACTGCAGACCAATAAGATGCTCTTATCCGTTTTAAAAGGAAGCACCACCGAGCTGCGGTTTTTTATTCTTATTTTTTTTATTCCTTTCACCAGAATTTCAAATTTCTCAACATGTTAAATGCAAGCAAACTGCTACAATTGGAAAAAAAGAGGGAGAGGAACAAGCGAGGGAGGGAGAGAACTGCGAGACTGGAAATGAAAGAGAAAGGAGTATGAATGATTCGTTCACCAAAATCTATTTAGCTTTGGCTCACTGAGATTCATACTGATTCGATATCGGACAATAATATGCAGGAGGCGCCATATACCCGCCGAGTTCGGGAGATACCGTTGGAAAATCAATGTGGTATTTTGTAGGCAATTTACACTGACAAATCCCCCGACAACTCGGGCCATCTTACTGTAAGTGCTGTAAAGAAATCTGGCTGACAGCGTACTTAACTCGGGCCTTTCTAGGCCCATTCACATCTCGTGGGTACATTCAATTAGCGCCTTTTTTTTTTTATCTCTAAACCTGCTCTAAACTTTCCCACTCCTCTTTTAAAGCGATGCAAACGGCTTTAAGTCGTATGGATTCTCAATTACTCATCACGTGTGGATCGTTTTTAATGTTATTTTTCTAGTTTTTTGTACCGCGAAAATATAAATAAATAAGCCAATAATTGATATTTAAAGATAATTTAATTTTAAGACATTACTTTGTTAAAAATGGGGCATTTTTAACCACTATAGTTAGCTTGATATAATTTTTGTTAATTCTTTTCTAGGTTCAACCTTGGTTCAACTGTTCAGATTAATATCTTTATCTTAACTAGTATCGATATCACGAAATTTTATCCGAATAAAACCTTTACTTACTTCATCAGGGAGGCGTAAAGTAAAGCTTGTAGGAAACCAAACAGCTCACTTGACCCAATAATAAGAGGGTTTAAAGGAGGACAGATAATTTAACGGCATTAATCACGTGGATTATTTGAATAGCAGATCTGGGAATAAACGCTGTAAGCAACTCTCACGAGGATTATTTATATAGAAGATGGAGAAATTTTGCGATTTCCATTCATCACACGATCGTAATTTTAACTTAAAAAGTGAGCGAAAGAGAAAGAAAATATGAAGAAAATAAAAAATATGTCACTAGCTAATTTCGTAAAAGAGTTAATGATGTGAAGAGTTGTCGGGACGTCGAGGACAAATGACATCAATTCCGATGCCAAAAAGGGGGCGACTTTAGTGGGTTAGCTAATGCAACAATCGGATTTTTATTGGAAAGCGCAGTTTGCTTTGCCACTTCCTATTGGTTTGTGTCGAGTCGTCGCTGTCTGTGGCACGAGTGAAGCACGACTGCAGCCAGAGAAGGAATCACAGTCATCTAACGGTTACACTTTTCAGTGCGACCCTCGACGAGCACGTGTTGGGTGACACCGACACGGCCCTAGTTGCTGTTTCGTCCGCCAAGGGCGCTGCCATCACCACTTGCACCCGTCTTCACTTACTCGCTTTAGCAATCGTGCTTTAGGAGCATGTTGGAGTTAACTGTGGTGTTTTAATGTCATGCAAATCGTTAACATTAATAGTAGTCGTGTAATGACTCCAGCCAAGAGACGCGATTAATGTTATATCGAGTCGAACTTGGTCAGTCATTGGATAAAGAGGTAGGTAATGATATATGTGATACTAAGTTCATTTGCTTGTAAATGATTTATAGCTGGGTAATTCGTAGCTTTGCGTAGGTCGTCTTACTCCTTTATATACCTCTAAATTAAAAATCACTTCCGCATTATCATTACACGACTAAAGGCGAACGAAAACTTGCTGCAACTTCTAACCTAACTTACTTGATGAATCGAACCGATTTTAATAACAAACCCCGTTTTTCCGTGTTTACAAAAGTTATATTTACTAATACAAACGTTTAATTCTCTTACGGGATAGTTTGGAAAAGTTTCTTAGTTGAATCTGATACAAAAAACTACTGTTTCAATCACGTATATCTGTCGACGTCTTTAACACGAAAAGTAAAGGAGGACGTAAATGCTATCCAAAATGAAGTAAGACAAGCCTCTGGCTGTTTCGGCGATCCAATAGACGTTATTGCTGTGGAGTTGAAGTTAACAGTCGCTGCTGGATTAGTTCGATGCACATTAAAGGAAGCCGCTAAACATTTCGTCCAACTAAGGGACAAATTAGCTTCGTACCGTATCTCGGGGAGAATGCAATTCACCCCACCTGGACAGCCAGATCTTCTCCAATGGAAGTGCAGCCACACTAATGACGTCATCAGAGACAGTGGCAGCTTCTTAAATAAGTAGGCTACTTGCTTACACGTCGAAATTGTTTTGCTTTATTCCATGCAATTTGCTAGCTTAATTTCTACTTTGAATTATTTATGTTGCCGGTAAGTTTATTCTTTTTTTTTCTTTATAAAGTTTCTAGTATTTCTCATCTAAAATCCCGTTTTTCTTTCTTTTTTATATCTTGATTATTAGCTATTTTGTAACTATTCATTTTATTTTTTTACTAACATTACTAAGAGGGAGCGTATCGTGAGAGAATTTGCATTCTTAACTAAACTGAATTTTAAAACTATTTTAACTTAAGAATATTCTCTGTACAATTTTAGAACTTAAACCTTTCGAAACAAAGGGAAAGGGTTTTTCAATTTCCTAAATTAGCACCGAGGGATTCGGGGTCATTCCCTAGTATATAAGTTGAACCTGGAACCGACCTTGAGTTTAGTAACTGCTGCGAATCTTTTCTGTTACTTCGGAACATGTTTGTGACAGATATTTTATTAAATTGCCTTATTTTTTCTATCATTTTCAGATCTTTCGTTCGAACTATAATTAGTTAATAAAATGGAAGCGGGACACTACACCGGAGAGGGGAAACTTCCTCCGTCGACTTACTACAATTCCCTATCTGGTTCGGCTTGTTTCCCTCTCCCACTTCTATACAATCAAATGAATTCCTATCCCTTTTTCTCCGGTCCATTTCTACCATTACATCCTTGCGTACTACCACAGCACGGTCTACAGGATTCTGCAGCACTCACCACTCCTCGCAACGTTTTAGCATCGAGAGACTTGATGAAGAATGCCGAAATGGCTATGACACCCGTGACATTCGACTACGTTCAAGCTAGACACAGATCTTACAAAGAAAAACATCAAAATGACGTCCAAAGATTAAACATCAGGCAAGCTAACTTGGCATCTATGCTGGGAATGCAAAATAATAACTGTGTCCCAGACGTCAAGAAAGTAGAAGCGGAAGGAAGCAACGAGGTATATCAAACGGAGCAGAAACCCTGTGACATCACCCCCAGAGTACAAAACGAAGGCAAGATAACTGAAGTTGGTCAAACCACCGAAAATGGTGAGTTATATTTTTCAAAAAATCAACATATATCTTAACACACGAATAAATAAATCTCGGGTTTATTTACGGTTTTAAAACTTATAAATATATAATTAAATATAAGAATTATATACAGTTTAAAGTGTAAATTTTTAAGATTTTTGTACATCTAGAACCTCACTAACTCTATTTTCTATACCTTCCTTTACACGCGTACAAAATGAAAGCACTACTGATCGCAAATTAGATTACTAGAGGCTTTAATTCGAAATTTAAAGTAAAAAAAAAAAAAAAGAAACTATTAAAATATTGAAGTTGAATAAGAGATTTGCGAATATTATGCCTAAAGGCTTTTTTTCAAATATTTTAATAAAATTTATCGATAACGGGCCTCAAGCATTTAAATATTGCACGGTTTAGAGAAACATGCCAAAGATGGTAATAAGAAGAGGAAAACCGTGACAACGTGATCAATCATTTAAGTCACGAACCGCAAAGTTTTATCAGAGTACATTGATAACTCTCTTTTGACCATATTTGGATTTATTTTCTTTTCTTTAAATCTTAAGAAAACCTTAGATTTTTCAGCTTGATTAGTTTGTTTTAAGTAGTCGAAAATTAGAATAATACAAAAAGTCTCTAATCTGCAGAGAGACTAATTACAAAGAGTATCGATCACCGAGAAGGGAATAAAAATCGATTGATCAATGTTTTCCCTGTTTGGGATTATGCGAATATAAAACTTTTTTTTAAAACAAAAATTTAATGATATACCGTAATCTAAACCGTTATTTGAAGGTAAATTGGAAGATTCTTTCGCCAAATTAATAGGTTTTAACACCGCAAAGGGTACGAAAAATCTTTATGGACGAATTGTAATTTTTTATATTTGTTTATTAAATTAATATTGATAAAAAGTTTTATAAATCNTTTTAATAATTAAAATAGCGAATAATTTTTAAAGTTTATTAAAGCTATTATTTAATGCTATAAGTTATGAATTTTAAAAATAAAAATTGAACTTTTTGCGTTTCGGATACAAATTATTTTGTTAATAATTATACGCAATCAACTACGGAGTTTGGGCCTAGTTCATACACGAAATTTGAAAGTACAGAAGAATTTTCAACGACTTCAAAAGTATCTAAACGTTAATTTTGGAAATCTAAAAGACGTCAAATGAAGAAATAAACGGACTGATGCGATTGATAATCCTACAGGATTTTCAGAAACTCTCAAAACTCTCTCTTATCATTAGAGACAGCGGTTTAATAGACCTTAAAAAAAAGAGGCCAAACCGTAACCTTTTACATAACTGCTCAAATATCGGACAAGATATAACGAAATTAAGAGTGGACGGAGAACATTGTTGCCAGAAAATAACCGCAGAAGAAACGGATTGTGAAACTATGCAATTGATTGGAGGAGAGAAGGGAGAACTTAAACACGGAGATACCAGGAATTTAACACTTATGTATCCTAATTTATACTTGCATGATAGGAAAGGCTCGTGCCAGGTTGTAATTTCTTCCGAAAGAGATAAGATAGAGTATACTATTAATTTTGACACGTTGCTATACCGAAGAAAAACCAAGCAGTTCCTCCCCTACTATCAGATTACCTCGCCAACGAAGAATTAAAAGAATGTTCGAGCGTTGACGAAAATCCGTTAAACGACTGTTTGCCAGCTATTTGTTTGATAAAGTATAGTGGAAAACGTAATTTTTTTAACCGCACAACTCGTCGGTGCCAAAAAGTCGCAGAATGCTTTCCAGACGAAGAAGGAGATTTGCCAGACATTGTTTACATTCCAGAGAGTAATACCTGTCGCAAATTAACCAGAGAATTAACAGAAAACGATTTTATGTGGTCTAAGGAGGGTAAAAAGGGAACGTCTCTAAGTAAGACGAGCGACTATCCCACATATGTAAACTGTCAAAACGGAAAAGCCGATCCTTTCAGTGAATTGTGCAAGTGTAATCCTGGATGGACAAGTGCCCCTTGCGATATAACTTCGTTCAATCCCTGATGTTCTGATATATCACCTGTGCACAATTTTAGGAGGAAACGATGAAAATTATTCTTTACGTCTAAATAACTTTCTAACGAATAATTCAATATTAATGCTATTTTGATGTTAATAATTGTAATTATGGTTCTCACCGTAATTTACTGTAGTCGGAGATGTTCAGAATACCATTCTGAACATTTTTAATATAATCCTTTATAAATGAATATGTCACATTCAGTTGTAAATACAGTAGCGTACTATTGGCTCAGTAAAAACTTGAGAAATTTTCATCTTACAAAAAGTAGCTGGAAGTTTTCAATTTAAAATTTAAAATGTATATTTAAATATCATATAAACTTAATTCGAGTAATTGAAAATAAACAAAATGTGCGTCTTTCTTCAGAAAAGGGAAGTGACGTAAGTAAAGCATGAAATTGGGAGAAATGCTTATGTGTAGAAGCAACTTTTATCTTGTAAGGCGACAAAGAGACCACAACTAACAACTGAAGACGAAACAGTGAAGTCGGAGGGGTGAAACAGTTCATCCAATCTCAACATGACCCATCCTAACAGTCACTCCATCAAAGACATCTCACACAGTTCACACATCTGCAGGTGGGTCTATATGCACCCCATTGCATGCAAGCACAGTCACATTAGGGCACCCCTGTATATAGGCAGCTGTTTGTAAGGCCGTGGCGGGCCTTGACTCCTCTACCTAAGCCTATTGTGAACTCAGCTATGTAACAACGACAGCTTAAGCTGTTACAATAAAGCGCGGGATCCCATTGACTGTACGCCACCCAAAACAAGCAGCCACGGGAACGAAGTAGGGACAGATGGGGAAAAGCGAGAGGCGGTTCCTTCCTCCAGCCGAGGGGAGTTTGGCCACTTTGTAACTCACTTCTTGTGGCCGACCGTTCAAGTGTAGCAGCGCGACCTTTGTTATTCATCCACCCATATAATTGTTGGCTGTGCCGAGGGGTGTAGTAGTTGGCACAATAGCAACACAAATCCTATCGAGTGATGGCCGAACAGAGCTTGGCATTTCGTTTCATATTCATATCGTGTCTTCCAACGCAGTCTTATCCAGACTAAGGCGTTGCCAAACATCCATCATAACCCTACAGTTTTCTTCCCTATTTTCCCTAACCGCCTCATGCGCTTAAGCTTAATCCGCTTCACAAAGCTTCAGTCCCAGGGATCATGTCCATATATTTCATGGAGGCAGATAATCACGCTTAAATCCACAGTTAGCTTTTGCTTAACTTCCCTCTTTCCTGTTGGCTTTTAATCCTATGTTTGAATAGAGTTGTGGGGAAGGTAGAAAAAAATCGAAAAGAAACTATAAAAAGACACCATTCAAAAAGTCAACAATGGTTATGATAAGCTAAACAGTCCCGTGTGCAACATTCTACTTTGGAAACAGTCTCTGCTTTCGGCTTTAAATGCAGTATTAGGTATTAGAAGCATTATACAAATAGTCTCACGGTGTTCCTTTTTTCAGCAGTAAACTCGAGGTCATAAGCTTGAAAAGAGAAAAAGGTCAGCGTCGGCTTTATTCAGGTATAGAGTGACTTTAATCTGTTATAGTTATAATGGAGAGAAGTCGATGAATATAGATTTTGTTTGATTGAAAAACATGCCCGACCTATTATAAATTTTAAAAAATAAAACATTGGAACGGATAACTAGACAGAAGCTTTGATTGTTTGTTTATCATCTCTCATTTCAGACAGGACAACTGTTCATCCATTCTTACTACATCATGAGGGCAGTTGACATTGTCCTGCGATCTCACACTGCTTGTATCAAATTGAGGCCTGATAGGAGCCTCTCTTTCTGTTGACTAAGTCATTTGTCACATGGATGGTTCTCTTGTGCTCGGACAGCTCTCTTTATTCGCTTCTTACTTCGTCCATCATCGAATACTTTTACCATTTTCGGAATTATTTTCTATACTCGCTAACAAAATTTAACATTCTATATCCAGATTGCGTCATTTCGCCCGGCCTAGGCGCTGACGTCATTGACGAAGCGTGTAAAAACACAGAGGCGGCTGCAGAGAGATAACACGTGTTCTCTCTGACAATGTCACCGCTGTATTTATCACTAAATACAGATAGCAGTTATAATGTTACGGTAATTATCCGGTTGGCCGACTGTGAGAATATTAAGCGGTTCTTGTGGTCATTCATCACGTGGGGGCACAGATGGTCCGAACGTGATGACGATGTGCGGGTGCAAGACCCACAGTCGATGCACCTTTGTGTGGTTGAGGACAGTGCTGATGTATTACGTGATGTGGTCAGATCAGTAACGACTTTCTATTCAATGCACAACCATCAGACCCAGTGGCAATTCTGCTTGTCACCTAGTCGAGTTGACAAATATCTCTCGGCCTGTCAGTCAGTATTTTCCTATTGCCAATCTCTCTGCACTCTGTGAAAGTGTTGAGTGGCGTTGGAGTAATGCCTTATTCCTCAAAGTAGAATTATAGTTGTTGACTGCTTCACTAAGACCCTTCACAAAGAGCAAGGACGTTTCTCAAAATCCACTATTCTTATATGGTCAGTTTTAATCTGACCTCTTTATTTAGGCTCGTTTATCAATGTCTTTTTAGCATCTTCTTTATTATAAAGTAGGAAATTGTTAAATTATAACGGTAATCCTCCAGAAACGCGTACAATAACTTCTTCCTTTTCCCTCTATTCTTCACCAAGGCTAGAAGAATATTTTATTATTTTCTTGAAAAATTCCAATATTAAAATCTGACTTAACTCCGTGTAAGATAGGTGTTTTCTCTATTAAAATTTCTCTTTTGGCAAGCTGTTCTTTCAAAAAAAGGGGAAAAAAGACATACATTTTGTCATTTTCCCAGACAATAAAGCGATTAAATCCTGTCAAAATAAGAAAGATAAAAAGATATGATAACATTAAGAGAGGCTTTTTTTATTACCGACTTCCAACGTGTAATTACTTCATTACCAAGAGTAGATAGTAGGAATCATGTAGGGCCGCTTTGCTTCATAGATGTAGAGAACAACAGTGCTATAAAGACATTATCCTATTGAAGAGATGGCCAACTGACAGGAAAGCAATCCACAAGTCGACGACAGAAACAGCCTTTAAGGAGACGCAACCATTCGTTTTCTGGGAGAGCATTGGGTCAAGTAGAGCGCCCGAGAACATAATGACTTCAATAAAGTAATCATGGGTGGTCGTTAGAAAGAGATGTCCCCAGTGCGAGTTTGCCCGAAGACACCTTGGGAAATATCGAGAATTATTTCTTGGGAGGTCACTCTTCTTTATAATTAAGAAAATAAATGGAGAAGATAAATATGAAAAGGCACTAGAATTTCTAAAATTTATCATTATTTACGACTGTTTGAGTTAAGTAAAGCAAGTTTTAACTCAGTATTTTTCAACTTTATTCAACACGGAATTTGATTTTAAATAATAATATTTAATAATAGAAATAATATTATCAAATTAAAAAAATATATATACGATTCCAAATATCATATTTTAAGCAATAAGAGCATTTATTTATAATAAATTGAAGTCAACACCTCTTAGAAAAGTATAATTTCTTCAATTGTATTATAAATAAAACCCGATTTACAACTTTTTTACGTTAATTTTCTTGATTTAAATGCAATTTTTCTTTAGAATAAACTTTAGATATATTAACAATGTAATTATAGGACCGTATAGACGGTGAATGACTTCATTTAAAGAATAGACATAATCCGTTATAAAGTAAGTTTACTAAGCTGTAGGCCTATGAAGTCAGAAGAATCAGACAATCATTTGCCGCGCTCTTGGCATATTTATGCTTATTGAACCGTTATTTTTTTGATTATAAGAGCAGTTAGACTGTCAAGAAAACAGTAGAAGTTAAGCAGTGTTATAAAGCAACATTTCTTTAACTAGTAACGAAGCTAGTAGAACCACAAGAGGGTAAGGAGGGGCCGAAAACAGTAGAGTTTCTACTAAAACGTTATATAGAAGTCATGTATTTATGGCCCCTTATTGTTAAGCCAAGAGATCTTTGTCTAGAATGGAAGGCCCGATAACGCTATCGCTAATGGGTAGTTTAGAAAAAAACAAGAAAAACAAGACGTAACGAATTATGTAAAGTAATTTCCGATATTGTTTGATGCGTAAAATCTCGCATTCTATCTAAGGATGCAAACACACTTTTCTCCCGATTTTTCCGATTAAATGTTTTTCTGTAACAAATGATTAAGATTACGATTATTAGAGCTTTGAATCACTAAACGTTTGACGTCAACAAATTGTAAGATATTTCTGCACCGATTCTTTCTTAATTAGATTATTTTAGTTATTAAAATGTCACAGAGATTAATTTCTCCTTCGTCCAACTTATATATATATGCCTGCAACTTAACAAAATGTCATTCAAGCAAAAGTGGTCGCGATTATGACCCAAAACAAACTGACAATTATACATTTTATTTAATTATACTCAATTAAAATTAACTGAAAAGTTATGGAAAAAGTCTCCTCTAGTGCAAAAAAATATATATATATATCCTTAATATGTGAGTAAAAGATAAAAATATTTATACTTGATAATATTAAGAATTGTAAATGTATTTTATTGATAATAATTGTAAAATAATCGATGTGAAATTTATAAGAATTCTCTCTAAATTCTCACCAGATGGCATTGAATTAAGACCCTTTTCTTTTCTTCTTAAGAATGATGAGTTTGGAGCGAGATCAGCTCTAATCTCCAGCCTGTAAACATAGAAGATTAATAAGAAATGCACGATTTTCACAATTATAAACTTATAAATATTGAAAAAAATCGAAAATTTTTTACATTCTTTTCTAATTTCTAAAGCATTTCTAATGATTTATAAAGAAAAAAACAGAAAAAATAAGGACTGCCTTACCTTTATATTCAGATTCATCTTTAGCGCTAATTCTAAATAGAATTATTAAAGTAATGCAACATGTTTAAGGTCTAGTTTTATTTTAAAATCATT